TGTTAATTTTATAAAAAAATATAACGTATGAATCCTAATTGGTATTTGTTAATGCAATAAAAAATAATTGTAGGTATGAGCGTTCATCAAATATTGTAGGCCGACCCTAATAATTCGTGGTGGTCACCTAAAGGATGAATTCAAAGGCACGATGTTGCTCACAGTGACAATGGACGGTCAAAACCAAATCATGCATGTTGCTTATGCCATTTGCAAAAGTGAATGTACTGAGACGTGGTCCTGGTTCCTTCGAAAGCAACGTGAAAGTATAGGCAACTTGGAAGACCTTACAATCATATCTGATAGGGCTCCATCCATAGCGACGTCAATTGTAAATATATTTCATCACGCCTATCATGGAATATGTGGTATCCATTTTTATTTCAACATTTCAGAAAAATTTAGAAGTAGCGATACAATGCACACATTATTTTGGGAGACATGCAAAGCGTATACCATTAAAAAATTCGATAATGGGATGAAAAAAATAAAAAATGTAAATATTCATGTATAAGAATACCTACAAAACATCAACCCATAAAAAGATGGGCCAGGGCACATTTTCCTGGGAATCGGTATTTTCTTATGACATCAAATAGTGCGGAGTCGATAAATTCAATGTCACGATTTGCAAGAAAGATGCCAATATTGATGTTGATTGAGTATTTTCGTGCAACAATGCAACAATGGAGTTTTCAGAAAGGTAATGTTGCTGATACTAATATTTTATATACATTGTTGATTGAGTATTTTCTTAACTCGTGTAGTAATAATTTTATGAAAAAATATGTCGATGTTTTTAGTGGAAACTAAAAGAACACTCACCCAATGGGCTGAAACGATTATACAAGCAAATAAGAATGCTTGTAATAATTGGATGGTGTACCCTATCTCAAATAGCAGATTTGAAGTGAAAAGCTCTAACCACAAAAGTGTCATTGTTGATTTCCAATAAAGAACCTGTACATGTAGGCGGTGGCAAATAGATGGCTTACCTTGTGGCCATGTTATAAAAGTGCTGACAATGAACCGTTACGAAGATTGTTCGGAATTCGCTTTAAAAGCTTACTTTACAGAAACATTGAGGAAAACTTATGAGGAAACTGTGAACCCCTTACCAAGTCCATCTGAGTGGGAGATCCCCGATGGTGTGATGACCGTGAAGCCACCCATAATGGAGAGACGTCAGCCGGGTAGGCCAAGAAACACTGGACATATTCCATCGCAAGGTGAGTGTCCCATACGACAAGAATGTTCTACATGCGGTCAATTTGGACACACTAGGAACGATATTACGGGTAGGGGATCGTGGAGCGGATCTGGGGGGAGGAAAAAATATACACAAAAGGCATAATGACTGATGAGTTTGCATCCAGGAGCAGGTCATAGAACGAAAGCGTATACCCTACTTTTGATTTCAATAGTACATTTGATTTGAATTGTCCTTAGATTAATGTAGTAAAGCAATGAATTCCCGTATTTGTAATTTGTATTGCTTGTATTAGAAAGCACTTCTGAGATTATTAATTAAATCTAGTACTCCATTTATTAACTCCTTTATTCCATGAAAAATAAAACAAAAACATAAAACATTATAGAAATCGAGATACACCCTTACGAAACATTACATAAGACATTTCACATAAAAGAACCTTCTACATGAAACATTTGTTATTTTTAAGTAGGATCCATGCATCCTCATACTCGAAGTCACTTCCCTCATGCTCCAAAATGTAATGATCTTTAACCATTTCTAAAAGATCTTCGTCGTTGTTTGGATAACGATACCTGTTTTTAAGATTATGATACCATCAATAAAACCATGTGATTTTTTCCTTTAAATCCACCAACTTACGAAAAATATCTTCTTGTGTTCGGTGTTTTCCTTCTCCCAACGAGAGGTTAAACATGGTTGTTATGCGGGTCCATTCATCACCTTCTAAGCAATCAGGGTTAACCATGGTTACATCATCGTAAATGTTCAACCAACAACATGTTAGCACCATTACCTCTCTTATCGTTCATGGATGTGGAGTATTGGACGGAGCAACTGCGTTGGAAGAAGTTGGTTGATTGGAGGCCATTTTTTTAATTTTTTGTTAGTTTGTTATAATTTTATAGGAGTACCTAAATAAGAAAAAAAGAATAACATACAATTAGGTGGATTCTCATAAGTACTGTTTGAAACTACATTATGAAACTGTAGTCAAATAATGTCAAAGAGTAGTCCGATTGTTAGATACCTAACACATAGATACTGTTTGAAACGAAAAATATACTGATCGAAAAGACAATACAATATACAGGCTAGAAAGTAGTAGTCAAAGTCTATGAAACCGTAGTCATATAATGTCAAAGAGTAGTCCGATTGTCAGATACCTTACACGGATATACTATTTGAAACGACAAATATATTGTTCGAAAAGACAATACATTATTGACCTTGCCTTTGCAGCTATTACTTATTTATGTCTCCACATGTGCAAAGCCCCTAACCCGCACAACCTTAAGCAAACTATGTAATTGCTAATTGTCTCTTACAATTGTTTCGAAATGATTTTCTCCAACATTGGCCACGAAGAAAGCTTCAACAACTTGCCTGTTTACCTTCATAACCTAAGGCGAACCAACCCGCATACTCGCACTCACATCAAAACGGATTTGATGGATCGTTTCCAATCTTGTTTTGTGGCTATTGGATGAGTGGTATAATTCTTTTCCAAATCCGTTTTGTGTCTTTACATTTGATAATGTTTGTACATTAAAGTAATTGGTGTGCACTATTAAAAATTACGGGTCCATGCATTCGTGCATTGTTTCTTGCCTGTCCTCTACATCGGTACATTGCGTTGTCTAACCGATAACACCATTAGGAATTCTGGAATATTAATGTTTAGTACATTCCAACATATATTATAGAAATAGGCCCGTGCCCATTTCATATGTCCGATGTTGTGAAAAACTTCCTGTGCACCATGACTTAACTTAGAAAATGTTTGTTTAAAGTCTTGCATGGTATATGCTTTGCATACACGGAAGAACAAGTAGTCTAAATTTCTGCTTTGACCAATTCTTAATCGGCAATAATTCAAAACACTGTTACACGAATAACCATGGTAAGCATCAGGGAATACTTGACCAATGCAAGAAGCAATGGTATCGCCCATATTGGTTATGAGCGCAACTTCCGTATCCGCTCCGATAACATCCTTCAACCTCATAAGGAACCAAGTGCAAGAGTTAACACTATTTTCCACCTCGACACCAAATGCTATTGGTGTAGTATGGTTGTTTCCATCAATAACAACTGGTACAAACATTGTATTAAGATACTCTCCTCTGATACCAACAGTGCTTATGAAGATGACCGGAAGCATGCATCCTATAAATGCGTTGATCTATTTCAAATTTTATATAACATAATTATTAGTTTTTAGACTAATCTAAAATGGTTTAGCAAAATAATAAACAAATCGATACTACATTACCACACATCAAATAGCAACAAAACATAGTACGAACCGATCCATAACATCGGTTTTGATGTATGTGTAACTATGGGGATTTGCACGCTGAATGTTGTGGAGGTAAACAGGCAAGTTGGTAAAGCTGTCTTCATAGTCATTGTATGAGAAACTCATGTTTAATGTTATGGCGGTGAACAGGAACCTTTGTAAAATATATCAATAACGATGATTTAAATTATTTCAAAACCTTTTTATAGAATCGAATCAGTATTTGAAAACTAAAGTAGTAGTCAAATGATTGTAGACAGTAGTCAATACCTATAACATAGTAGTCAAGCTACAATCATGTGCAAGAAATTAACAGTTAGATTAGACAACACATAAACCAGTAGTCAACTGCAAATGGACAGTAGTAAATACGTACGACACAGTAGTCAACCTACAATCCTGTGTCCGAAATTCACTGTTCGATAAGACAACACGTAAAATAGTAGTAAAATGCTAAAAGGTAATAGTCCAAAGCTATAAGACAGTAGTCAAGTTACAATCATGTGTCTGAATATGTAGCTTAATGGCACTATATAAATGAAGATATTTATCTGGCCATACTAATAAAAATTCCATCTCAGTAACCAATGAAAATGGCAAATTGCAGTTGTGGGGCCCAAGGTATTATAAGGACATCAAGGACTTCAAACAACCCTGGATGGCTATTTTACGCTTGTCCTAAAGAGGTATTTGCGTTATCACTTAATTATATATATATATATATATATATATATATATATATATATTGTTATTATGATTTAATATTTAGAGAATAAACATAATGTTTTTGATATTTATTTATCAGCCACCACAGTCTGGGTTTATTTGTTGGCTGGATGAAGTGAAAGATAGTAATTCGTTGATAGTTGCTAACTTAGCTCGATCAAAGAAGAAGCTTCAAAGCAAAGTACTACACTTGAAGATAGTGTTACTTTGTAGTTGGATTTTCTTTTTTGGTGTTGTTGTGTATAAGTTGTAGTCTAAATCTCGATTATGCATGCTGTATGTACCACTAAGTAGTAGAAGTACGTAAGATGTAGTAATGTATGTTCTTAATTATAATGGTTTCTGTTTCCATGTATGAGAATTTGTTGTCTTAATTTTCTATATTGCTTGTGAACTATACATGTTGTAATACATATTTATTCTTAATTCATTCGACTATACAACACATGTTGTTTACAAATAAAAAATTCAAAAATAGCAGACATAACCATTTCATTGAGTAATTAATAAAACAAAGTTGACATTAACATAATTAGATTACTAAACATAAGTAAACCAGGAACTATTACAGATTTTGCAGCTCCTAACCAACCACTAATAAAAAAAACATAGTTGCAAATATACTACCTTAAAATTAAAAATGAAAGACATACTTGGACATATACTACCTTTATATTACTACAACAACTAAGAACATTATTAAAATACTACTCATCTTCTTCCCACATCGGACACTTATACGGATACTCTTTTTTCATATCAATGACTTCCCTTTTTTTTCTCCAAATAGTACTCACGAAGTGCTAATTCACTCTTAAGCTTTCGCAAATTTTCTTCACTGGAACGGATCGAACTCTCGGTAGATTGGATTTCTTGCCTGGTACTTATAATCCAATTCTTTTTACGATCAATGTCATCATAATAGATGTCTAGAAGGTCTCTTTGGAGACGATAATCTTTAAAAGCCTTATCCACTTTAGCTTTTCTTTGTAACAACAATTTTTTCACTTCCTCATCCATCTTCTCTCCTACTGTAGTAGGATCAACGTTGGGAGGGGGATTGGTTGACACGTTATGGGAGCTTGTCCCCAAAGGAGGCTTATTGTTGGACGTTGATGGCTAATTAAATTTTGCCCAGATCCTTTTCATCTCCTCTGATCTTTCTGTTATTTTCACACTTCAATTTTTTTTTTTTGTTATTGTTTCTTTCATTTCTGAATTGATAACAAATCCACATTAAATATAACACAATATAACAGTCAACGGCTAGAAGATAGTAGTCATAACCTAAAAATAGTAGTCAATCAAATCAACTAATAGTCAAATGCTATTAGACAGTAGTCAAAACCTATAAAAAAGTAGTCAAATAACAATCATGTGTCACATATTCACTGTTCGATAAGACTAAACATAACATAGTAGTCAATGGGTAGTAGACAGTAGTCAAATCCTATAAGACAGTAGTCAAAGTACAATAATGTTTTGGTAGGATGTGACAACACATAATATAGTAGTCATCAACTATTTTACAGTAGTCAACACCTATAAAAAAAGTGGTTAAATTGTCAATTGTATATAGAGACTTATATGTATTCTATAAACCTCAATCACATAAACTAATGTCCACCTCTCAAGAAAATGGTGGTTGATGCCACAAGAGAAGCGATCACAACTATTAAGAAGAAGAGATCAAGAACGAGATAAAAGGCATTGAAGAAGATAGGAAATGATTGGATAAGTTACAAGTCGATATCTGGTCTAAAATAAGTTCGATCCAAGACAAAGAACGCGACATTAAAATTGCACGGGTTTAGGTACAAGAGGCAACAGACTACGCCAACAAAGAAGAGGTTAAGACGGAAAAGATTCTCAAAAACATACAAAAAAATACGACTGGGTGATTCAAGAAAAAGAAAATTCTCCAAATGATTTTCAAAATGTTTGAATTTCATAATTCTTGATTAATCAACTAGTAAGTTTATGCATTATTTATGAGTTTATGTATGTAATATGTATTGTATTATATATTTTCTTTTTTATTATGATTAATCTATATAATATGTAATTTTCTGTCGATATCATACTTTCTTTATGTTTCATAATAACGGGACATTTTGATAACATAAACCAAAATACAACTTTATCTTTCGACATGAAACATTACACATAATTTGTTACTAAAAATGTACTAATCAAACTAACTACAAAATCGCCTTTGCAACTGATCCATAGTATACCATGCCCATCATATTGCGAAAGTTAGTAGCCGCAAAAAGAAGTGTCGTCGATATACCAATCGCCCGTCCAGAAACAAGCTGCTCCATGAACATTAACATAAACACACCGCACTCTCCAAACATCCCTTCCTATTGGGGCACGACCGTAACATCCGTAACAATAATGGATGCTTTCTGAACAGGCAAACCCATGTGATTCCAATAATCAATGTCAACAAGAATGCGATCTACAAGATCTTCAAACCACACAAAATCAATCATGGTGACGGCGCGAAAAGACCGCAAGCTATCGTACAAATTCAACGACAGTGTGTCCATCCATAACTCCCCAAGTACCCAATGATGTGGGTTTATACAAATTGGAAAATAAACTTGTTTTACCAGAAAACCATTGGAATTAGTTACAACGTTTAATTAGTGTAATATCAAAATTTAAGTGATTAATCAATAATATTTGTTTACTTACATGGTCAACTTCTAACCAAGATTTACATCCATCTAACGGGTCAAACGGATGTCCCAATGCACTTCCTACCCACTCGAACATCTCAAATGCCGCAAAAAATAAAGATGGCATGATTGTCCATCGAGCATCGTTCGGTCTCCGCTCATTCAAAAGCCTTCCCCATAAGTCAACATGCTGCATTTAAATCTAATTTAAACATACGGCCCTTATCAATTATTTAAATTTTAAATATAAACAAATATCTTCATACCGCTTCATCTAAATATCCCAAGTCAATTGAATAAAAAAGGAGATCCCAAAACCTTGCTTCGATTCTTTCATTGTACAACCGATGTTTCAAATAAACAGCCGGTTTGTTTCCCATGTATAATCAAGGGGCGACACATCCAAGAATGACATACGGCTCCAATATAAGTGTCGGGGGATCGCTGTGTGAAACCGGGGGGGGGGGGGTGGTTCATTGCGTATTACCCCATCCGGACGATATCGGTGAGCATTTTGAACCTACAGTATACACGTAGTCAATAAGTATCCATATACTAAAAAAAATTATAGTAAATATAATTTTAAAGAAACTTACAAAAACATATGGAGAACTAAGATATTGAGAATGTTTCAATACCCTAACCGGACGATCTGGTTTTGCAACAGGAGGCACGATTATATGGTTTTCCGCATCCATGATGTTGCTGGCAACAATCTTCTTATTCTTCTTCTACAAAATGCATATTAATTTATTTAATATACTCTGAAAAAATATAAAAAATTAATATACAAAAAAAAAAAAAATTATAACCTCCTTCACGGGTTTTTTTTGTTTCTACGACCAACATCATCATCCTCGTTTACTCAATTTGAATTTGGTGGACTACCGAATTGTTCGTTCACCGAGCTTGTCATCCGATAACTACCTCCCACATCTTCATTCCCCTACATTTAAACGAAAAATAATTTAACAAATAATTATTTTACCTCGAAACCTTCATTAAGAATTAATAGTAAATTTATAAAATGAAATATTTTACCCCAAACACTGCGTCAAAAAATTCATTATTGTCATCCTGTTTTTCAAATCCATCTTTACATTTTATTCCTCGGATTTCTTCTTCCAAGCTTTGAAGTCTTGCCAATATTTCTCGGGTTGTTTTCATATTAATTCCCACCGTATGAGTTTCTTCGGTGGACTGGGTAGATCGGTTGTTTCCACAAGATGGATCAGATGAAGATGCTCCCTACATAAATTTTTTAATATATCAATAATAGTTGAAAATTTTTAATATACTAGATACTACTTTTAGTATTTTACTTACATCTTTTCTAAAGTTGAAGCGTACAAAAGAAGGGACTTCTGGCGATTCAGGATTCAGACTAGAAATATATGTCAAGTAATGTGGAGTAGATGAATCGACATCTGAGGAAATCATCTTTCTTTTCGGTTGATGTGTCTTGTCCTGGTCAACATCGAAAAGATCGCAAACTTTCTCCCATGTTAACCTCCTAAGGTGAAACCACCGCAACATATGAGGATATAAATTGTTTCGTCGTATCGCAGCATTCCCCCGAGCTAGGGAACATCTCCCATATCCATATCTTGTAATAAATATACATTAATATATAAGAGTTAACAATAACTAACACGGATTATGAAAAAATAAAAACCAAAAAATTTAAAATTATATTTTTCCCTTCAACGGAATAACAAAACCGGATAGTGTATACACACAAGGTTTTGTGGGATGTTTGGACATATGATCCTCAAATTTCTTAAACATACTCGACAATCTAGGGTATGTTTTACTCCATAGGTAACTCCCCCACGAGAACCTATATTATATGTAAAACTATTAGTTAAACATATAAAAAATAGTATTTTTTATAATATTACATTGATAAATACTTGTTCCATTCATCCAGGTTCTCCACTACCCATAGAACTTCCTTTGTGACTTTGTCTTTGGGTTCTTTTCCCAAAAAGCCTTGATTGAGGATATATAGCAAAATCGCACGGACAGCATCGTCAGCCGATATCTCATTAAACCGTCGGTTCAAGATAAGTAGCTCTAAATCTTCCACAAATAACGCAGTGTCCGTGCGATACGGGAAGACTCTGGACCGAAATGTATTATCACCGTATCCGTGATTATACATGGTTGAAAATTCAATCCTTGAAGTATGAAAACGACCCATGTAAAGTCCCGAGACAATACAAAACTCTTCCGGCCCAAATGATAAAGAACGTCTAGAAAACATGAAATGTAGACGCTCAGCTGCATCACTATTAGGGGTAGGACGCAACAT